AGGAAGTCCAAGATGTTGTCCTGGCCCTCAGTACCCAGGCCACCACTGTAGCAGCAGCAGAGAGCTTGTGAGTCAGGGCTGGCACAGGAGCAGAGGCTGGAGGTGTCACTGTCGTCTTCCGAGAGGGGCGAGGGCAGCATGTGGTATGCCCGCCCGCCTACCAGCCTATTGCCCAGATAACCAACTGGGCACTTAGGTGACGAGAAGTTCTCGTCCACCGGAAGCAAGTGATCCACCATGCTGGCCTGGCCGTGCCAGTGGCAGCTGCAGAGAGAAACAAGGGAGGGCCAGTCAGGAGGACAGCGCACTCACCTGCCATCTCATGGGTCGGTGGCACCCCCCTCCACCACCTGCCAATAGCATCCCATTGCCAAATGCCTGGATCCTGCCTCCATCTGTCCCTTGGGTGAGCTCTGTCTACAAGAATGTTTTCCAAAATTGCACCACCTGTTTGCAAGAGTGCTCTCCAAGCCCATTGCACAACCCAGGGCACTTTTGCTTTCAAACATTTTCCAGAACAATTCTGGTAAAGAACACACATGTGTCTGTGAATGATTGAGTGTGAATGTGTGTGAGTGAGAAAGTTTTAAGTAAGTTCTCTCCACCTCGGAACAGCCAAGGTCGGGGAAGCCATGCAATTCATCGGTGTTGCTGGATTTCTGAGGACACCTGATCTCAGCTTCGTTCCTGTTGAGTCACTGGAGGGGGGAAGGTGAATGGCCGTTGGCCCTTTGACCCCTGTGGTACTGGGCCTAGGACAGTGTTGCCAGATTGAGCAAATGATAATGCAGGCTGCCCAGTTAAATTTGAATTTCATATTTTTTAAAACTGAACAACTTTTAATGTAAATATGTCCTAAATATTGAATGGGACATGCTTATATTAAAAATTATTTTAGCTGACCTCTCCCTCTCCCTAAAAAATAAAGCAAAAAAAAAAATCACCTTATTTTATCTGAGATTCAAATTTAACTGGACAATCTGTATTTTAATCAGGCAAGTCTAGTTTGTGTCAGAAAATTAAAGACCCATTGCACCTGCCTTCAAGGGCCTTATTTCCCCATCTGAAGGGGGCAGCTCACCCACCCTCAAGCTCTCAGACCCCTCTGGGCACAGCTGCCTCCTCTGTGAAAGGGGAGAAGGGGGACAGCCCTGCACAAATGGATACTTTACTGAGGCTCTATCACTGGGCCGACCAGACCCTGCCCATGAAAACTCATGGGAAGCAGAGATAGACCCAGAACCCAGAGCGCTGGCAGAGCTTTTACCTCATGTGACTTCACAACCACCACCTAGCCTACTGGGCCAGTAGAGAATACCCCCTTGGCCTGCACCCATGGAGTACTCACCACTTGGGGAGGCCCAGCTAACTCCCGTCTCCCCACTAGACCATGCTCTCCATGAGGACAGGCAGGGCTGTAGGGTGTCCACTGTGTCCCCAGTTCCCAGTGTGGCAGCTGTTGCCCAGGAGGGCCTTAGAGAATCTCAGCAGAGAAAAGCTGCGTCCTCTGAAGGCCATGCTAGGACCGGTGTCCAAGGAGAGTCAACAGTATCAGGCTGTGACAGGGCCACCTCTGTGGACCTTTGTCCCCGCCCAGTGACCATGGCTGAGTGTTTACTAAGGTTGGGGAGGGGAATGTTCTGCACCTGAAGGCTGAGCTTCTCTGCTGCCTGGCATCACCCTGCACCCACCCCTATGCTCTATGCTCTGTCCCCAGGACCACCCCTGGGCCAGGCACCCAGCACTGCCCAACGGTCAAGAGGCCCAGCCCCAGGCAGAGAACTCCCAGGGCCAGAGTCATCATCATCTGTGACCTTGAGCAAGTCCTGGATCTCCCCAAATCTGTTTCCTCAACCGTTTCATGCCCCTAATGGCCCAGGACCTTTGACTTCAGTTCCCCACTCATCTGGGAAGCTTCATAGCGCTCCAGGAAACGAGGCAAGGTGGATGCCCTTGGCAAGCATGCACCCCCAGAGGCAGTTTTTCCAGGACATTTGGCTTTTAGTTTAAATAATCAGCTAAGGACTTAAAACTGGGAGTTTTAGAATACACACTATTCAAATCAGGTGCTGAGAAGGAATGAAAGTGCCAGATAATGTAAAGAGCAATGAAGCTGGGCAAAGCCCACACCTCGCCCTAGACCTCCCCACCCATTGCCCACCCTTGTTGCTCTGCTCTCCTGCCTCTGCAACTTATCAGCTGAGTGACTTTGAGCAGGTGGCACAATGTCTCTGTGTCTGTCTTGGTCTGTTGGGTGGAGATGCTGCCAACAATGCCTAGTTTCCCAGGTTGTTTTAAGAGTCTAGTGAGCTAACACAAGCTAAGCACGCAGGCGCTGGTCAATACTAGTCATTAGGATTAGCCTTCAAATGGAGGAAGACATTGTCTTTCTGCCCCTCTGCTGTGATGCTAGGAACCTGGAAAGAACCATGACTAGTGGTAAGGGGGGCAGATCAGGCCATGTTCCTGCCCACTTAAAACTCTCCCCTGAAATGTGATCACCAACTGAATATTCCATGATATCAAGGAATTACTGTTACTATTTTTAAGTGTGATGATGATATTGTGGTGGTACATTCTTTCTAAAGGACTTTTTGAGATATGAACTGAAATACAGAGGTAATGATATAAAGCGTAGGGGAAATAAGTACAATAGGATGGGGTGGGAGGAAACCTCCAAATACTTTTCCAAGGAAAGGTAACCCAGCCTTCCCCCAGCACTCAACACCTGGGCCCTGCTCATCTCTCCCAGACCTCACCGCCATCTGCTCCACTCACACTAACTCGTTCACCAGGCTCTCAGCCTCATGGGCCTCAGGCCACTAACCTGGCTGTCCCTTTTCTGTGGATCCCTCTTCCCACAGCACTCCACCTGGGAGTACCTTATTTAGATCTTAGCTCAGAAGTCACTCCCCATGGGGGCCTTCCTGACCACCCTCCATTACAGCATCCCACATTACATTCCTCTTGCCAGATTGGGGGCGGGGGGGGGGGGTGTACGACCACAACGACTATCTTAGTTATGTGTTTGTGTACTTTATTTTCTGTCTACCGCCCCACCAGAATATAAGCTGTTCTGACTGTTCAGTCCGCCGCTACATTCCAGAGTCTAAAACAGGACCTGGCAGAATTTGCTGATTGAGTGAGTAGTGAGTGAAAGGTACTGCTGTGGGGAGTCAGAAACGCGGAGGGGGGAGGGGGGGAAGGGATGAGACCTGGAGTAGAACCGCCAGGGTCAGGCAGCATGATCTTAATGCAGGGCTGGGCTGCTTGGGCTGGACACAGAAGCACTGAAAACCTGGCTTTAAAGAGAGGGGACGCCAGGGCGGGAGCGGTCTCCAGCCCCTAAAACACAGCAGCACGTGGCACGGCCAGGGGCGCAGGCTGCGTGCAGGGGGAGGGGACGCACTGTTCTGGGCACCGTCTCCTGCAGGCGACCGGACTCCGCCCCCTCCCCCGGCCCAGCCTGCTGTTTATTCTCCCGGGGACACAGCGGCTGCAGGAACAACATGTAATTGATAACAAGCCCAGCGCCGGCCAAGGGCTTGCCATTGGGTCAGCGTGCAAATCACGGGGGTGGCGGGCGGGGGCCGCCCTTCAAAATAAGAGTCTCTGCTATCCGTGCCGCCAGCAAGCCCCAAAGTCGCCGAGCCCAGCGTCCTCGCACCTATAGGGAGGCTGAGGAGCCTCAGGAACCACCCGGTCCTTGGCGGGGAGGTGATTTGAGGGGTTCAGGCATTTGGTGATGTCACGCTCCGGGGATTGGGCGAGAAAACAGCTCCTCTGTATCCCCCCCCCCCGCCCCAGAGTGGGGAAGGGTTCCATAGGGAACACCACAGTGAGGAATGAAGGAATCCGGCAGTCAGGGAGGGTAGGAGTAGCCTCTCCACTGCTCCCGCCGCCGCCAGCCCTCCGTCATCACTCTGCCCCTGTTCAGTCGAACGGGCCAGGGGACTCTGAGTGGAGTGTCGGGGTACAAGACATGTGAACCGTACGGGTGCAAAGGGGTGTGAGTTCGGGGCGTGGTGCGCGGCAGCCGGTGCGGCTGTGCGGGAGTGTGTCCGCGACGTACTCGCGCGTGGAGCCAGCGTGGGTGCCCGCGCGCGTGTGGGAACGTGAGTAGGAAAGGAAGGCGTGGGGAGCCCGCTCAGACCCTTCGGCAGAGCCCTGGAGTGCTGCCCGCTGGTCACCATGTCCTCGGCCCGTGCCCCCTCCCCCGGAGGCCAAGGCTGCTGACCGACAGTAACCCCTCCGCCACAGGTCCCTCTGTCCCCCGCCTCCCTGGCCAGGGCAGGCGGGTGCGTCCGCCTACCCGCTCGTCTCTCCAGGCCCCGCCGGGTGCCCGCCATATGGAAGGGCAGGCCTGCGAGGCGCAACGGGGTACGCGGGGCCAGGCGCCGCGGCCGCGGCCCGGACCTGCGCCGGGAAAGTGCGGGTGGGCAACTGGGGGTTACTCTCCCAAGGGCTTGGCCGAACCCCCTCCCCGCGCGGGGCCTCACCCCGCTCCTCCGACATTTCCCTGGACGCGCGCGTGTAGCCTGGAACAGCAGCGCGGGCGCCCGGTCACACGCCCAGAAGCCGTCCAGTGCCCCCCACCCCGAGTCCCGGCCTGCCCACTGGGCTCCCGGGGCCGCGTCCACGCGGTCGTGCGGCCTCGCCGCGCCTCTCCCACCTGAACTTGGCGCACGCCCGGCCCGCGGCCAGGCACCGGTGGTCCTGAGGCCCAGCGGGCTGGCCTGGGGGCGGCGGCCTGGCTCCCGGTCCGGCGGTGGCCGCGGGCCGAGCCGCGGGTCCTGCGCTCGCTCTCTCGCCCGCCGGCCCGCGGGTCGCTGCGGCGGAGCTGTAGCCCGCCGCGGCTCGCTCTGTGCTCACTCCCCGCGGCTCACGTGATGCCGCGAGCGAAGCGAAGGCTCGCAGGAGGCTCGGCCCCGGGCGCGCGCCCCATTGGCCTGCGCCGCGCGTCACGCGCCCCGCCCCGCCCCCAGCTGCAAGGGGCGCTGCGCTGCCGGGGCGCTCCAGGTTCCTGAGCCGCCGGCTCCGCGAGCTCGCCAGTCGGCTGCCGGATCCCGGGCCACAGCCACCTCCCAGCTCCCCACCCAGAGCCGTGGACTCGCGGCGTCCGCAGGGGTCCGTGTCTAAAGCTCGGTCCCCAGGTGAGAAGGTGAGACAGGCCTCGGGACATGAGAAAAGCCCTGAGATCGCCCCGAAGTGCTGTACACCCGGGGGCGTGGGGCAGCCCTGGCCAGGTCTGCCCTCCAACCCCACTCCACCTACAGTCCCGTACGGGCCGCTGCGTCTCCCTGTTGAGCGCCAGATAAAGTAGGAGACCTGCCTTGGGAAATGTATTGCTGGAGAAATGGGGTACCGTCTTTCCGCTGAGCAATCAGTTAGCCTTGGAAAAGCGTGCTCTCTCTGCTTTACCACCTGGGCTGTCAAGAAGGTTTGAGGAGGTTTGCTGACCCCTGCCTCAAATCGATGACACCCCGACTCTGGGGGATTTCTCTGAAGATTGAGCAGTACTTCACAGTCCACAAAGGCCGTTCACAGACTGCTGTAGTCTGCAGCAACCTCGGGACGCCTTTGCATTCCACTCAGGGATAGGAAGAGCGAGGCTCAGAGTGACTTGACCCAAGGAACATGTGAGCTGAGGGTGCCAGGCACCCTGCTTAGGCCCTTTAACCCACACTGCTGTTGGAGCCTCAGCCAGGCATTTTACAGATGAAGTAACAGACTCTGAGGAACCACAGGGTCCTCTCCGGGTCACACAGCTGGTAAGGAGAAAAAAAGGGTAGGGCAGGGGGG